TGCTAATTATACGTCCAGTTGAGCGAGAATTCTTTAAAACCAGGCAATATATCCAAATATACGAACGACCAAATGCGCAGATAGCGCCTGTGTTTACACGCAGACTTGGTTGAAGAAATACGCAGTTTGCCCCCAGATATTTAGGACGAAAAAACAATAATTTAGTATCGAAATGCTCGTCACAATGAAGCGATTCTGAATTTGCTCCTACTTTTGAGACTACGCATGCTCCGATTGGGATATGCCGCTTTTTCGTCTGACCGCGCACCTATTTCACATCACAATATAGAGATTTATTCTATCGAATTACAAAGTTTCGAAACGATTTTGCCCCTAGCATATTATTCATTTTTCGGCAAATTTTGACGTTTATAGATAGAATTATGAACATATTTTATGTATCCGTTCCTACTTTTTAGAAAAGCAATAGAAATAATCTCTAATATACAGTTTTGTTCATAATTGTGGCGATTTTCAACCATTTATCGCTGAAATTTCTGGGGACTAGGAACGAGCTCTGGTTTAATAGGCAAATGTCCAAAATTTCTTGCCATGCACATGGTGCCAGAGGGTAGACCCCAAAACACTGACGATCTGTGCGGATGGTGCGCATGGTGAATTGGTTGACGGATGGTGACGGTGGTTTCACGATCTGTGAATGGTGCACATGGTGCCAGATGGTAGACCCCAAAACACTGACGATCCGTGCGGATGGTGGGCATGGTAAATTGGTTGACGGATGGCGAAAGTGGTTTCATGATCCGCGAATGGTGCACATGGTGCCAGAGGGTGGACCCCAAAACACTGACGATCCGTGGGGTGGGGATTGTGCGCATGGTGAATTGGTTGACAGATGGTGAAAGTTTCACCATCTGTGAATCACACACTTGGTGCCACAGGGTGAAATATGGGTAAAATTGTAGACGGTTGGTAGTACTTTTTGTTGAAAATGAGTGGAGACAAAAATATTTACATACACATGTGTTTTGTTTTCTGCGTTTTTATGGCGACATTAACTTTCGCGTATAATTTATACAGAGTATTTGTTGACCTAGTAGACACTTAACTGTGACGATGGTAATTACGATAACTACTATTGTGGTTTGTTGGCAGAGAA